GAAATTATTGTTTGAACAAACGTACGGACGCCAGCTTCATTTGCAAAAATTACCAATTTGTTCTAAATAATGTTTCCCAATTCATATCGAATACCTAACACCACGGTTTGCACAACTTGCATAGCGCGCCAAGACGTTGGGTCAAACGCAAGCACATGTGGTTTGTTTTTTCTAAAAATTTTGACTTCCATCTCGGCCACTCACAATAATATTATTCTGTTTGGCACTGGCCTCGGATGCACGTGTATTACGTATAATATTTCAATTATTAATCACTTTTTATCTTTTATTCTTTTTATTAAAAAAAGAAATTACTGACAGTTAGTGCTTGTCCTTAATTATTAATTTGTACAAGTTATATTAATATGTGTTAGTGATAATATAAATAATTCAAGTAAGTAATGTTTTATGCAATTCTCTTTAGTTAAAACTTTTCTTTTTACTATTACTTATGTATATTCAATTTGTAACGTTACTTTCTGTTTTTTTTTCTTTTTTTAAATTGTAGAACCACTGAAGATGACGTAGAATTTTACGTCGAAACGTATGGAAATATAAAGATGTTTTGAAAAAAATCTTTACTTTTTTTACTTGATGTTACGCCCTCCAAGAAATCTATCATATATATATATATATATATATATATATATATATATATGTTAAATAGTTAATTTAATTTTGATGTTGAGAAATATGAGTAAGTTCTTCAAGGGCATACATCAAATAAAAGGCAAAGATTTAGAAGTTAATCTTTGCCTTTTATTTGATGTATGCCCTTGAAGAACTTACTCATATATATATATATATATATATATATATATATATATATATATATATATATATATAGCAGTGTTAAATAATAGAGCATAAAAACATGAATTTCTTTAAAAATGTATTTTAAATCCATACGTTCTAGCTAGAGTTTATTTCGTGCGTTCTTTTTAACACTGGAATAAGAAAATTGTAAGTAATTTATGCTTTTTGTAATTTTTGTATTTTTTATAATGGTCGTACATTTTGGTTTTCAAAATTTTATTTTTAGTTTCCACTGAATAAAGCTGAAACGTAAGAAATAATAATGAACTAAAAAAAAACAATAGATTTTTATTCGTGTAATGCTCGTTTTTTACCGCGTGCGCATATAGTGTGTTAATACAATTACAGATATGATTTTATTTGAAATTTATAATGATTTATTGGAAATCGTATTGATTATAATTTTTAGTAATAGCGAAATTATAGTTTAATTTCGAAATAAACAGTCTATTATTTCAACATTTCGGGAGTTCATGCATCATGCATATAATGACATACGACAAATTGCTGCTTACACTTACATTTACCTTGTTGTGATACGCATTATTAACTTTTCTAGTATCAACTACAACTACAAATATGCCCAACATAAAAAATTTCAAAGTAATAAGTGACATTCCACTAGAAGAAGTCCTCATCATATTAACAGATATGATACAAAATCCTATTGGGAGAAAAAGATTGTGTAAGTGATTTAAATCCACTTTTTTTATTATTTAGAACATGTGTATAATTAGAAAACTTATTATTATAGCTTAGATGTAGAACTGATGAGACCTCAAAAGGTAGGAGAAATTTTTGCAACAAAATCCTATCTTGGACACGTGGTTCTGCTCTGTGCAGCATCAAAAGGGGACAAAGGTATATATTTCTGTATATGTATATATATATATATATATATATCAATATGTATCAACGTCGACGAAACTTTCATCATATATATATATATATATATATAAATTTTTAGTGATTTTTTTATCAATTTGGAAGAATTTGAGCTCTTGGGAGCAAAGAAATTCGAAAATGACCATATTAAGGACCCCCTAATATATATGTATATGTATATATATATATATATATATATATATATATATATATATATATATATATAAATCTCGTGTCACGATGTTGGTTCGCGATGGACGCCCAAACTACTGAACCGATTTTAAATTTTATTGGCTCATCGTGTGCATATATGTCCAACTTAGGTTATAGGAAATTTTGAAAAGTAAATTTGAAATATAAATATATAATTTTTAAAAATTTCTAAAAATTTTGACAGAAAATGACCAAAAAAAAACAAAACACTAAAATGACAAATGTCAAAATTTAAGGAAATTTCGATATATAATTTTTGAAAGAAAAATTTGACATTTCAAAAAATAAAATTCAAAAACATGTACATATATAGAAATATCCAACATTTAAATCCAAATTTGATGAAATGCTATATTCAAAATCACTGTTTATAGTTTTAAATCTAATTAAAAATCAATGTTTATAAATTTAAATAAAAGTTGACATTAAAAAAACGTGAATTGACATTTGACAATATTTATACAAATTATTAGATAAATAGATTTATAATTTATATTTATTTGATTTGCTTACGAAATTAATTCGAATACCAAAACTTCCTCAAAACATTATAGATCACAATAAAAAAACGACATATTAAATTTAATATTAATAATAAACAAAATTTTGACAGTTCAGAAAAATTGAATTTTTAACGACTTCAATAAGAAACAAATACATTAATTATTCAAAGTTTTGTTATAGGCAATATTGTAGATACAAAACATTATTGAAACATATATTATATCATATTATATTAAATTTCGACCAAGAAGGAAATATTTATTTAGTTTTATATTTTTTATAAATTTCCATAAATTTTGACAGAAATTTACTAAAAAAAACAAAACGCTAAAATGACAAATGTCAATATTTATGGAAACTTCGAGAAAAAACGATTTATGATTTCTGAAAAAAAAATTGACAATTCTAAAAATATATTATTTAATACTTATTGAAAAAGAAACAGATATATTATAATATATCCAACAGTTATATCCAAATTAGGTAAAATGCTATATTAAAAATAATAGAAATATATAATGTTTATAAATTTAAACAAAATTTTGACAGGTCAAAAAAATTAGTATTTTTAACGAATTCAAATAAGAACAAATACATTAATTATTCCAACTTATATTACAAATCATATTTAAGATACAGAATAATAAAATTTATCAAATTTAAATAAATTTGGGCGGTTACGAATTTGAAACAAATGCCGAAAATGACGTTTGTTAATATTCCGGGAAATTTATGAATAAATTGATTTATGATTAAGATTTAATTTGCTTAAGTTGTTCATTCAGGTAAACATCACAAAATTAATATAAATCATGATTGAAAACTAAATATATCATATCATATTATATTAAATTTCTAAGTGCCAAAAATCAAACATAGATTTGAACTCGAATTCCTCACAACTTTATCTATGTTAGTTTCAGGGATAGTATGAATATGAATTTATAGTCGGAAATTTATATTATGTTTTGTAAATAAACACAAATTTAAAAAAAATGCATTGAAATCGATGACTGTCTAATCATTAATTTATGGAAAATTTTCAAAGAACATATTAAAGGCTTATAGCAAGTTCCCAATAGTATTGACCAATAGTATGCGAAACCATTTCTAAATAAAGCATCGTTGAACATGTTAAAATGTTAGCTAAAGGTAAATAGGACGTAATACCAAATAAGATAAAACAAATTTATAAAAATCGCTTGGTTATTCATTATACATTTTGCAATGTACTCATTTATTCAAATGTTTAATTATTTCAGTTTATTTATTATTTAAGTTTAGAAAAAACACTAATCAATAGGATTGATCCATCATATTCAAATTTCAATCCGGATTTTATTTATTTTTGGATTGATATGAATTTTTTATAACAAAAGGTTTGAAATTTGGTTGTCAAACGGATTCAAATTTCAATCAGGTGGATTTTAATAAGGGCCGTTGCAACGCAAGGCTGGGTATGCTAGTATATATATATATAAATCTCGTGTCACGATGTTGGTTCGCGATGGACGCCCAAACTAATGGACCGATTTTAAATTTTAATTGCTCATCGTGTGCATATATATCCAACTTAGGTTATAGGAACCCGAGACAAAAAATAAGTTCTAATTAGGACCCTACGCTTCGAACTAGCTGCTTTTAGGTACATAAAGCTCTTTCCAAGTACGTAAAAACAGTTACAAGCTCTTTTAGAATCGAAAGTACTACAAATAAACACATTATATTTTTGACATATACAACATAACCTCATCGCATAACCTCACCACTAGCAGAACATCTGAAAAATGCTTAAATTTACATGTTTGTTTAAATGTATAAACAGAATATATGATATGTGAAACCTCCAATTTCTCATGTAAATAATTAAACATAATTAAATGTATTACAACTAATAATAAAGTGTAATAAAAAAAACATTTTAATAATAAAATTTATTAAGTACATAACATACATAAAAGAAACTAATTATTTTTAACTCTTTGTTGCCTTTTTTTTACTCTAATTCATACTTATTTATAGGTAATCCTACATAAATATTTCCATCAATATTGATATATATACAAACATATAGTAATGATTTTACAGGAATAGCAATGAAGCTTTTTTTTCTTGTACATTTTTTTATAAATGAATAATTTAAACTTTTATATTTGTGACCTTTGCCGATGAAGCAATCTTCAATATTGGATTCTTCCACAATAGCAAAATGTCCATTATTAATTTTTAAAAAATAATGCAAGAATCCAATATTGTATTTGTTATTTAAATTGTAAGAAATAGCACTGGAATAAGTTTGCATGTTATTCCTGTACATTTCAGCAATAAATAATTGATCATTCTTCAAAACTCGAAGATAGTATTTTAAAGAAATGTTTTCAACTGTAATGTTAGAGGTTCGAAGTGCAACCTCTACTTTGCTTGGAAACTCTTTAATTACTTTATATACTCCAACACTATAAGTATGTTCAAATTATCTTCACCTGTTTTTTTCTTTTTAAGCAAAACTCTTTAACTTCCTTATTTGTCATACATTCAATTATTTTCTCCTTCTTTATATAAAATTCTTGAGATTTGCTTACTTGAGAATCAATATGCCGTGTTCCATGAATTAATTTTAATAATTGGCCATTTATATCCTCATATTCGAAACAAGAATATACCCACAATGGTCCAAGATTCTGTACACAGTCTGGTAAATGTAATAATTGATGTACATTTATGGAGCAGTACATTTCACCATACAAGTATTCAAAACATTTAACTTTGTGTAAAAAATCTCTAGCAACATCAAGTTTATACAAAGATATAGTATTGGAATTCAAAATGGAAATTCCAGCCACGAGCAACACATAATGTTCAAAATATTGTGGTGCAAGAATTCCATACAAAACAGGTAACGAGTAATGAAAGAACCACAATTTTAATTCTGATGCTTTCCAATGTAGTAACTCTGTAACACTTCGAGGCATCCGATGCACAAATTTGGGTGGTTTTATTGATTTTAATCTAGCATCAATTACATTTATCACGGCATATAAAGAAAAAGGCTTATTTTTAAATTCAGTATTGAAAAATAAAGATAACAATTTTTTTACAACACCACCTTCTACACAATGCATCCTATCAATGGCCATCCCCATGACATAATCAGGCATAATCAGTGAAAGTGCTGTGGGACCTTTGATTCCCATTATTGGTGCATCTCTTGAAGCATTGTCAGCAAATGATCTGCAATTTTGTAATGTTCTTTTCTCAATATTATTAGTATATGGGTATACGTGAACATTACCACCTGTTTCTAATGTAAAATTCATGCCTGGGCAAAAACAATATGAGCAACCGTAGTACCCGTTATACTGGACAAAATTTAAACAATCACTTCTAGCAGGCAAATCACAAGTGCCCAACAAAAGAATACCCTTGACTGTAATATTAATTCTCCGACATGGTATGTAAACCTCAATACCATTGACAAATTTCTTTAGATCATCATAAAACACATGAAAAAAATAATTCATATTAGGCTTTTTGTCTCCATACCAAAGACCTAATAATAATGTATTTTCCCTTTTTTTGCGTTCCTTAATAGGTAACTCATTAAGTGTTAAATAAATAGGCCATGCACTGATTTTTGAGGATTTAAATACTGGTATGCCGTCTGTATACCAAGTGAATGAAATATTGTCAGGGTTACAAAGAAAGCCCTTTTGTACATATTTACGGTATAAAACACCATCATAGACATCAGATATACAATCTGGGTTATTATTTATCCGCTTATTATGGCAATCTTGTAGCTTCGAATAAAATCCATCTCTCTTGTACATTTCTCTCAAGTGTTCAAGAAATGGTAATTGAATAAAATATGGATTTTTTTTTGGGGGCATGATGGACAAATGCTGTCAGATTCCAGTTGCACTCGTCCACAGAAATGGCAATAGTAATGTTTAATAAATTCAGAATGATCTAAAGAAAAATATTTTCTAAATTTGTACAGACTGTTTTTAACCAGTCTACTTTTCATACAATGCAAATTAATAACAGCAATTATATCAGCTATGCACTCTAGTGAAACGTTATGACGTAAAAAAATCATTAATATGAGAAACATGCTATTTGATACTGTTATTGGAGCATTTTCGTAAACCTGTTCATCAAAATTGACTTCTCTCTCTTCGGGTTGATCTAATTCAGATTCATCTTCCACTTCAAACACACATTTATGTTCAAGTTCATCTTCTTGATCATTTTGTTGAGAATAATCATAAACATCATTTTCAAGAATAGTATCATATCGTACACCATCATCCTTGTAAAACGTATAATTAGACAAATTGATATGTGTAACAAAAATACAAAAAATAATTGATTTATAAAATGAAATGAAATCTACATGCTTACCGTGTGAGAGTTGAAATATTTTCAACTAAATTTATAGATTCTCTATTATTTTCTCTATTAAAAGCTTGCATTAGCCGTTTTCGCATTTGTCGAGGGCCAACTTGATCTATAGATTTCCTTGGTATCATTTTAATACTTATATAAATGACAATTAATATATAAAACAACTCAAAAAATGAAAACACCAAAATTGCAAACACAAAAAACTGTATATGCAACGAAATTCAATGTGCACGTACATTTCGCGCCATAAAAGCTTAACAAGTTGTCTGCCGACCACTCTGAATGCCTATGTTCATTTTTTTTATGTTATAATTATAGCAAACTGAAAATTATGTGATCATAAAAAATATAACATAAATAAATAAAAATATAATTTACATTAATTTTCAACTTGTTATCAACATCTGGTTTTTGAAACATAGTAAAATCCCGAGAATAGCGAAATGGCGTTGGCGTCGGTAGAGTGATTTGATCATTTGCGCGCGGTTTACTTGTTGGGTTTCGTTTTTGCTTTAAATTGTGTTATTTAAATTTAATTATTAAATTTATTTAATTATTAAAAATGCCTAGAACAAAAATGTTTGCGTCAGTGTTGTGGATGGAATCAAATCCACGTTGTACCGATATATTTCCTTTGAGGAGTATTTGCCCTACTGATAGGTATGTAAATGCAATCACAAAATTAAAGTGGAAAACAAGCAACAATGTTAAGGCAGGCAGAGGCGAAGCAAAGGTTTTGGCTATTAGCGGTATGTATATCTCAATGATTATTTTATAAAATGTATTAAATTTATTTTTAACTGAAAATATTGAATTTTAGATGATATGCAATTCTTGAACAATATGATTGTTAGTGTGGATGGCGACATAAATGTTCCTGCTAACAAAATATTTATGGCAAACATTGTTCAGGAAAATGCATCTTTACAAGAAAATCGAAAGGTAGAGCAGATAGTTGCTTTATCGAATCGAAAAGTTATGGATGCCAGGCTAAGGGTTAAGCCAACTATTTTTGATGGTGGTAATGCACTTAGCCTCACTAATGTTGACCAGGAGTATGTGATACTTGATGATACACCCATCGATTATGTTGACGACCAAGGCAACGTGCTTATTATTAATGGAGCTCCTGAGTCTACACATGAGAAATAATTAATGTGAATGACAGTGATTCTGAAGAGAGTTGTAGTTCTGCTAAATCAGCAGAACTACAGTGCTCAGAGGACAATGTTAACGCAGTCCCTCTGACAATTTCTTTTAAAGGTACAGTATAATATTTTAAAAATAATGTTTTTTATATCGAATAACTACATATTTCTATTGAATTAGTTACCCCGGAAATAATAGAGAGTGCACGTGTGTGGTTAACTGCATTGGAGGTTGCATATAAAACACAAAATGAGGTGAAGAAGATCGAGAATGTGCAATCAAATGCAATGGTCGAATCCAACTATAAATTCAAGGTAGTTATAAACTTCTCTTCATAAACCATGTAATATTTATGCAGAGTGCACCGTAAGTCTTTTTACTTTTTTCTTTATTTAAAAGGTACACAAACTCCATATGTGACCCATTCAAAAGCAAATTGACTTTTAGTTCACACTGTAATTAAGGATATAATTTATGTTCCAATCAACAATCTTTTTTCTACTTATAGATTCCAGCATGCTTCTACACTCCTGGAGAAAACATGGTAAATTAATGAATAAAATGCTTGCTTTTATAAGATATTTTCAATGCTAGGACTAAATATGTTTAATTCTGTAGGAAGAAATATCTCCAGGGTGTGGATTCTTTCTTCCCAAAAATAAAATAATATATATTGAGCAAATGTCGAAAGCAAACGGAACAGAAAATGGCTGGGTGAATGTAGTAAGGGAGGTGCTGCTTCTCGTTTATGGGGAGCAGTTGAAAAACTTCTCAGCCACTGGGATGAGGAGTAAGCGGCCTCCAATCGACCAAAATTTATTTGGAGGGTTATTTGGTAAATTTTTAAACATGCTTATATTGATATAATTGATATTATTATTAAGTATCTACTGAGGATTTGAAAAACATTAACAGCTACATAACTGAAATATAATTTATGCACATGAATCTAAACTGTTTTTAATGAAATAAATTGATATTTGTAAATGTGAATAGTATTAATGCAAGTATTATTTTTTCCAGATTGGTGCCGTCGATTGAAATTTATGCTGGACAAAAAGTCATTTATACATTACGTAAATAAATGTTGTGCCAATAAACGGGCAAATAAAAAATAAATATAAAATGTGTTTAAATTACTTATTTATATATGTACCTACTTCAAAGACCTTATAAATACATATATAATTGCAATCCATATGTATTATAAGGCCTATGACCTACCTACATTTTTATAAAATTTCAGGAAAATTTTAAAATCGTAATAACCTAACCTCAAACTTACACCCTGACAGTTTTGACATTTATGCTCTTTTAAGTAGCTATAGTACCTTGAAAATGCAGGCTCTTTTAGGTAAATTACGTTCCTAAAACTGCACTAAGTGGGGTCTAATGTACCTAAAAGATCTTAAATTTATATGGCGAAAAGTGGTTAATTCTCAGGTTTCGGAACTGTTTTGAGTACTTAAAAGATTTTAAATTTCGACTCGGGAAATTTTGAAAAGTAAATTTGAAATATAAATATATAATTTTTATAAATTTCTAAAAATTTTGACAGAAAATGACCAAAAAAAAAAACAAACACTGAAATGACAAATGTCAAAATTAAAGGAAATTTGGATATATAATTTTTGAAAAAAAATTTGACATTTCAAAAAATAAAATTCAAAAACATGTACATATATAGAAATATCCAACATTTATATCCAAATTTGATGAAATGCTACATACAAATCACTGATTATAGTTTTAAATCTAATTAAAATCAATGCTTAAAAATTTAAATAAATGTTGACATGAAAAAAAAATTAAATGTCATCTGTCAATATTTATGAAAATAATTATATAAATAGATTTATGATTTAGATTTAATTGATTAGCTTACCAAATTTTCGGAAACCAAAACTTCATTAAAACCTTATAGATTAGAGATCACAATAAAAAAGCGGCACTTGAAGGAATTTAAAAATAATCATAACCAAAAT